TCTGTTTGAAAGCTGCACGAGTGCGCGGCCTCAGCTCTAACGAGGCTGCGACGTACGTGAGTGCGCCTTAGCACAGTATTGTGCACGGTAAGTCTGGGCCGCAAGCTTGGGGGGTAAACTGCCGTTCGCGCCCAAATCCATCCGTTAGTCGTTGGAATTGGCATATTTAACCGTTTTATCTGTTCTTATGCAGGGTCTCCACTTCCGCAGGCTTTCTGTTTGAAAGCTGCACGAGTGCGCGGCCTCAGCTCTAACGAGGCTGCGACGTACGTGAGGCGCCTTAGCACAGTATTGTGCACGGTAAGTCTGGGCCGCAAGCTTGGGGGGTAAACTGCCGTTCGCGCCCAAATCCATCCGTTAGTCGTTGGAATTGGCATATTTAACCGTTTCGTCTATTCTTATGCAGGGTCTCCACTTCCGCAGGCTTTCTGTTTGAAAGCTGCACGAGTGCGCGGCCTCAGCTCTAACGAGGCTGCGACGTACGTGAGGCGCCTTAGCACAGTATTGTGCACGGTAAGTCTGGGCCGCAAGCTTGGGGGGTAAACTGCCGTTCGCGCCCAAATGCAACCGTTAGTCGTTGGAATTGGCATATTTAACCGTTTCGTCTATTCTTATGCAGGGTCTCCACTTCCGCAGGCTTTCTGTTTGAAAGCTGCACGAGTGCGCGGCCTCAGCTCTAACGAGGCTGCGACGTACGTGAGGCGCCTTAGCACAGTATTGTGCACGGTAAGTCTGGGCCGCAAGCTTGGGGGGTAAACTGCCGTTCGCGCCCAAATCCATCCGTTAGTCGTTGGAATTGGCATATTTAACCGTTTCGTCTATTCTTATGCAGGGTCTCCACTTCCGCAGGCTTTCTGTTTGAAAGCTGCACGAGTGCGCGGCCTCAGCTCTAACGAGGCTGCGACGTACGTGAGGCGCCTTAGCACAGTATTGTGCACGGTAAGTCTGGGCCGCAAGCTTGGGGGGTAAACTGCCGTTCGCGCCCAAATCCATCCGTTAGTCGTTGGAATTGGCATATTTAACCGTTTCGTCTATTCTTATGCAGGGTCTCCACTTCCGCAGGCTTTCTGTTTGAAAGCTGCACGAGTGCGCGGCCTCAGCTCTAACGAGGCTGCGACGTACGTGAGGCGCCTTAGCACAGTATTGTGCACGCTAAGTCTGGGCCGCAAGCTTGGGGGGTAAACTGCCGTTCGCGCTCAAATCCATCCGTTAGTCGTTGGAATTGGCATATTTAACCGGTTCATCTGTACATATGCAGGGTCTCCAGTCCGCATTGTGGAGCCCGCGCCAATAGCCAAGCTGTGTTTGTCAGCGGCACAAGAGGACGCTTCATTATGGCAGGCTTGCCAACTGTTTGCTTTTGCCATGTATTTGGGTTTTGCGTCTCACATGGCGATTGGCCATGTGAACGATACCCGCTTATTTATCGGATAGGTTCATGACTTGATTGAGGAGGCGGGGACTTCCTGCAGAGCATTTGCACAATGGGTCATATCGCGGGTAGGGAGGACTTTCGTTTGTGTGTGTGTGAGCAGCGCCCTGGCAAGTGGCAAGTTTGCTTGGCTTATGCAGACTTTGTCATTAGTGCAACTCATGCATCAGGATGCTGCTGTCTTTGCTGCTCTAATTGCCGAGCCTCGTCAATCTTGTAACACAAGGACGAATTTCTGCACTCATCCCTTCGACTCGCACACTTTGCACTTCCGAATTCGAGCAGCTTCAGTGTTTGACTGGTCCGCGCTTCACTTGGGATCCGTTTGTCCCTTCTCTCTGATCAGCTATGTGCCCCAAATTTAGTTCGACTCTGCACAGCTTTCTGCCTACCAGCTGTGCCTAACATTACGTTTTCATTCATCCGCCTCCTGCTCGTGCTAGTGAGAGTATCTGTTGCACTGCACTTGAACTGCAAGAGCATCGCACCGCATTCAACATCAGGTGGTTTTCATACGTACCACGCTGTTCGATGTTGTTGCTGCGATAAGGAAGCGACACTCTGCTGGGTAACTGGTCCTGTCTAGTTCTGGTACGACCCTCCGGTATCTGCTCCTGATGCTGACGTCGCTACCTCCTTCGCCTTTCTCCGTTTCTAAGGGTTTGACTATGAGGTTTCGAGGTAAAGAGTGCCAGTCTGACGCCTCCATTCTCATCGTTAGTAAATCGTTTTAGTGTGGTTACATGGTGGATCATCATCGTCCTCCCTCATCCGATTGAGCATGAAGCGCCTTAAAGCAACATGCCGGGCCTCCCAGACTTCCGAGCGGAACCTGGCTAGTGCACCAGGGGTGGGGCCTCGGTCATAATCATGCGCTTGAAACGCGAGGTCACGATCGTACTTTGCCCGTGTGCTATTGTACACCGGGCATTCCGCAAAAACATGCATCTCGTCTTCAACCGCCCCGCCGTCACAAAGCCTGCAGGTGCACGCTGTGCACTCACGGCAGTTAGGTCAGTTAATCTCTTAACTCCCAACAGCCTAACCAGAAACGGCGGTTTCAGCCACTTATGCCGCGTGCCCCTAAGTGGGGGCGCCCCTATCCAGTTCAGATAGCGACATGCCTTGACGCCGGTACTTCCACTTTGGAAGGTGCATGGATTACCTAGGGTACCCGGGCACTCCCACCGGGCGTCTAGACGCCTAGCGAACTCTTCTAAGTAAGCTAGGGGTACTAATTACGACAAGCTCGCGATAAAGTGAAACCGTAGTCGGGCACCATAGGGTTCGCCATTGCGCACTCGGAATTCACACCAATAAAATCAGGTCCCCAAACTTGCGCCTCATACGAAAACACCGGCACAACGAGCGCGTTGTAGACGGACATGCACAGCTCAGCTTAGGGGTACTAATTCTTATCTCGACACAGGGCACTGAGGCCAAACGTGGCCCGTTTTCCTGCTGCTAGTGGTTGTTTGGTGCAGGCTGAAAACTGTGTGCCTTGAGTTCCAGAAACAAGATTGGCCCCGACGAAGCCGCCGCCGCTACTTGTACGGCATAATGTCGTCCTCGAGGCTGTCTCAGCAGATGGTGAGTGTACGGATCGCTGCGGGCCTGACGGAGCCGATGGGGTGAACGCTCCGCCGCCGGAAGGAATGGAAAGGGCGGCAGCGGCAGCGAGAGTTGTCAGCGGCGGCGGGGGATGCGGCGTTGCCGTACCGTGTTGGCGGCATTCCTTTGCTCCCCCGTCGCCCTCGCGATCCCCCTGGAAAGCCCACGGCCATGCTGACGGTCTCCGAGGTCGGGGGGACTCTGACGACGCCACCGTCGCCGCCGTCGCAGCCGACGGCGACGGGATCGGCGACGGGATCGGTGACGATGTCGTACTCACGGCGGCCATTGTGGCGCGAAATGGCGATTCCGGGTCCCCGGTTGAGGTGATGGAGATGTACGGCAGCGCCGCCGAACGAGTGGTGTCAGCGGCGGATATGGGTGTTCACACACCGGGGAAGTTATCGTACTGCAAATGTACGGCTGGTGGCGCCGTTGCTGTTGCGTTGCTGGTGTCTGACCCAGCCCCGGCAGCAACCTGCGGTGTGAATGTTAGGATTTTAGGGTTTTAGGGACTTGTGGCTTTGAGGTTTTAGGGTTAAGAGTGAGGAAAGAAACGTCCTGAAGGAGAAGGAATTTTACTAAGGCTGTGCAAGATGAACTTCCACGTCGTAATCAACGATTCTAACTGCCATTACTATCACGTGGCCGTTACCCCTAACGGTTCTTACCACAACGGCCATGGACGAGCGCCTCCGGGAACACAAGGACCTAGGTTCGCCGAACGTGAACTCGGGTCTGGGTAACGCAGCCTCCGCGCCAGCAGCCGCAGCAGCAGCAGCTCGTCCCATGCGCCTATCTGCCGTACGGCCGACGGGAGCGCCGCTGTTTACTTCCAAGGTTTCGGCGCCACCCTCGATGCCGGTGCCGGCGGCGACCCTGCCGCCGCCGCCGCCACCGCGGCGGCGGCGGCGGCGGGTGCCGCCATCGGGAAACGATCCCGTATGGGAAAACGCGGAATCCCACCCCGCTGGCGCTGTGCGTAAGGCCCACGACAGCGTCCTATTACCCAGAGTGCCACTGCCAACGCCACCGCCGCCGTCGCTGCCGCCTGCACTGACACCGCTACTGCCGCCGACGACAATGGCGCTTCTTGCACCACCTCCCCTGAGCCCCATCTCTCGACCGTACGGCACATAAACAGGGGCGCAGACATCGTACCCGCTGCCTGTGCTGGGAATCTGCGGTACGGCATCAGCATCCAGGGCTGTGACACCGACTGTGGTTCGTCGCGATGTGATACTGTCACCACCAACGCCGCTTACGTTTGCTGGGTGCGCAAGGCCTTCGACAAGCCCACGGGGTGGAGCTTCAACCTGCGTCGCGACCGGTGCGTACGGCAGCTGGTTCGTTGGTCTGGCTGCCGCCGCCATTACCGCCGCACCTACCGGCGCCAGGCCTGATGGCTGCGGCGGCGGCGGCGGCACCCGATTGCCGCCGCATCCGTCCCGTACATCGCCGCTCGCTGTAACGCCTTCCGCCGCAGCGTCTGTCGGCGGTGATAGCTCCCCCCGCCGCCGCCGCCGCCCGACAAGGCGGGCGGGTGTTGGGCCCTGGCGGCGCCGTGAGGACTTGGATGGCAGCTTGGAAGCGACCTCACGGTTTGTGAGAAGGCGGAGAGGGTGGAGACGGCCGCACCCGACCACATGCTGAAGGGAGCTGCGGGGGAGGGAGAGGGAGGGGGGAAAGACGAGCAAAGGAAGGGTGTTATGGAGGGGCGGCAGCGGGTAAACAGGCATGCCGTACAGTACGGAAATGTGCAATGCTATATCAGGATACACCAAAATAAAATATGAATCATTTTACAAAAAAATAAAGAATATTAAAAATAGTACGTATAATAATACATTAACAGTATATATATAAAGTATGTCACTCGCGTCTGGGGGGCAGTGATCCCCCAACCCCCACCTCATCCAACTGGGCTACGGGGAGCTACCGCCGGTGCGGACGGCGGCCCGACGACTGAAGTCGTCGCGTGACGGCGACCCGCGGAACGGAGAAGCAGAGCGTGGCGGCGGCGGCGGCGGCGACGGCGACGGCGACGGCGGCGTCTGCTGCCGCTGCTCCGCCGCCGGCATCCTTGGCTCATAGGCAGCGGCGGTAGAAGCCGTATGGCTTGGTGAGCCCCGCAGCCCTTTCATACCCGATCGGAGCTCAACGGCCATGTGCGCTACTGCCGCCGACGCTTCCGCCGCCACAGCCGCTTCGGCATTTCCTGGCTCACTGACCCCTGGGTCACCTGGCGTGGAACTCCAGGAGAGAGACGACCCAAATTGGGGAACCGTGACATTGGCGGCGGCTCCGCTGCCACCGCTGCCGCCGCTGCCGCCACCGCCGCTGCTGCCGGATCGCGTCTGTTGCGGCGTCGTCTTATGCCGCTGCTGCTGAGACGCCAGCGGCGGCGGCGGTGGTGGCGGCGCGTCGCCTGCCTCCTCTCCCTCTCCCTCTCCATCTTCCTCCACGACAGGGCATACCAGCCGGCCTCGCATACTGCTAACGCCGGAGCCGTACGTTCCCAACATCGAGTACGGCATAGGGATTTCCGACACTGGCGGCAGCTTGGACATCTCCGCCGAGTCGCCACTGCCGCCAAGGACGATCATGCCGCTGGCGAAAGCCCCCTCACTCAAGCTGCCGCCGCTGGCCAAGCCGCCGCCGCCGCTGCCGCTGCCGTAACAACCGAAATCCCCTCTGGGCCGCATGGGTGACGGCAACCGGGCTGACATTGATCCACGTGGGACGTACGGCGACGCAACGCCGTCGCCGCTGATGCGACCCGCGCTTCCCGTGATGACGGTTGACAACACGCGAGCGCCGGAGTTGCCGCCGCCGCTGCCGCCAGCACTGCCGCCGCGTGCATCTGCGCCCTAAGGGTCGCTGGTGCCGTCTGCGCGGGGCGGCTGCTGCGATCAGGTGCCGTACAAAGCCCCATGGCTGCCGCCTTGGTGCCGTACTTCTCCCGGAACTTGTTACCTTTGCCAGCGCCGCCCAACGACCTGCCCGACTGGTTGCCGCTGCGGAACGCACTGGCGGGTGTTGTGGGAGCCGTGGCGGCGGCTGAGGCAGTGGTGGCGGCGGCGGCGGCGGCGGCGGCGGCGGGAGCTTCAGCACTCGGCTCCACTTCCTCTTCGGCGCCGCCACTGCCTCCGTCGTCTTCATCATCTCCGTCGCCTCTGTCGCCGCCGCCAAGGGTAATGCCCTTCTCCGAGCCTTCATCATCTCCGCCGCCTCGCGCCTCCGCTGCCGCTGCGGCCTCCGTGCCCAGATCCTGGCG